CTCTGCTTAGTAAGAGGGCATAGCGGCAAGGTTAAGACATGAGAAGTTGTCGCTACTTGCCTATCTCTGATCTAATAGTCCCATGGACATTTATTCTTAATTAAAGAAGTATTATTATCAATTAGGCCTAAATAATAATTATTTTCAAGTAATTAATGTTTTATCATAGATATGGTCGTAGTCTCCTTTAGCTGTAATGCTTTCTTAGGATTATAAAGATTTAGGATGGAAAACTCCCAACTAAAGAGGCGACTTGGCATTTATCAATATGTTTATATATCTATAGATTCAGCTCTTACTCTTAAAGTCTGTTGATATGTTTTCAAATCAAGTATTTATTTTCATGAAAGAAAAATATATATGATACATATACGATATATATATATATATATATATATGAAACATATACGATACTCAGGGATTCGAAAACATGCGTGACCATTATGCTAAGAAGAAACGTTTGGTAGTCAGCGATTGTTATCAAGTCTCTGTATCACTTGAATTGTCTGGTACTGATTAAAGCATCCATTAGATAATCAACATTACACAATTACTGCGACCTAGCCGAAGGTCACACCATTTTTTGTCTTCAAATTTATGATCCAATTACAAAATTGCCTTTATTTCTCTCTATATTGTGTCTGCTGGGACCTCCAGCTCCAATGAACATGCTCAAGTAGGAAGACAGGCCAGCAACACAGCAGCTACTAACAATGGTTCCTCAATGGGCGGTTTGGCATTGAGTATGGATAACACTCAGGGTAGCTCAGAGGCTTGTGGCGGTACTTTTAAATGGAACTTTGATACGATTCGGCATGGATCCAGTAACATCTCTCTCACAAATGCCCACAGTAGCGTCGTTGGTGCCTCTGTAAAGTCATCTAATTCTAGTAGTACCTCAAGAGGTCCCTTGATCAGTAATATTAGCTCAGATAACGCATGTGCTCCACACGAGTCTACCGATGGAGATACAACTGATAGGGAATCGTGTTCGTCTTCTATCGAACTTACGACTGGAATCATTGCAGCACCCAAATCTCCACCTAAACCCGCTTCTCCGGAGCTCCCATTGCGAGCTACCAGCCACTCCTCACAAATGTAAGTTTTCTGATGGTGGTCCTTCATGATTTTATTTTCACCTTTTGTAACTGCATTATTTAAACCAAAAAAATATTTTGAGCAGCCTCCTAACTTTTGGAAGTTGAGTATCTATTCTCATTAAAATTTTTTGCATAACCTTTTTTTCTGTTTTATTTTGTTGAGCATTTGGTATTATCACATTTTAATTGCTCTCACTTTTCTCAAGGCCTAACCTAGCCTATTATTATCAGTATGTAATAGAAAGGGCGTCCTGCTTTACACTTAACTAATTACTTATTATGCTGGAGTCACTACATATCCTTATTAGTTTTTTCTTATAGTATTTCTAATGTTAACATAACATACTTGGATTTGGGTATTATTAGGCCGATTATAGTTTTTATACTTTGCATATCTTCATCATTTTTCACTTTTTAAAATTTATTTTAAAGTCTTTTTTTATCCGTTAACTTAGAATCCTCATCCTTCCCATGCCGAAACTCCCCCATCTCTCTTATTTTACCTTTTGCTCTCGTCACAACACACTTCATTGCTCTCGCTTTTCACCTCACGGCGAGTCTGCAAAGTAGCTCTGCTTTAAGCGACCATGAGCTAATCGTTGCAGTTACGCAGCCTTCTGCTATTTCTTTTGCCTCTACCTCAACTCCACATCAAACATCGTCATCGCATCAACAATCTTCCCCGTCTGTCAAGGCTCTCCGCCGACCTACTTCAATGACAGCTATCCAAATGGCTGCTTCACCTGCTGTTATAGTATCCTCTTTTTCTTCCAGCTCCACTGGGACCTCCGGGACTCCTGGAAATAGCGGATCTCCACTGCTTCAATCCAAAATGCACTCTATCAATGGCCCACAGGACGTAAACTCGTACCAACAACTCCCCCAATCCCAACAGCAACAGCAAAAATGTGAGTCGAGCATACATGGGCGGATTCTTGAGAATTATATTTTTTGATGAAGAGGAATTAGCCCAATTTTATACACTGAAACAAATATATGTAAACAAGTACAGGTATCGAAACTAGGGCATCAATAGGGACAAGATGAAATTTAAAACTAATTTATAAGCTAAAAGATCTGATAAGAATAAAAGTATAAATAAGATTATTTGTAGCCAGTTTAGCCTGAACTTTTTCTATGCTTTAGTCCCTTAAGTTTGACATCTCCATTATTGGCACTTATGATACACGTTTATTTGGGGTTTAACCTATTCTAGTATGTCTCATCAAAAACTAACTTAGTATACTGCATGATTTTCATGTTACTCATTTAACACCAGTCTAAACGATTACGCTACATCCACCATGCTTTCTATTTGGCTTTGCATGGTCTTGATCAAGCTCATCAAACTCGCAGCTTGTGAATCATTATATGCCTTTCTTCCGGTTTCTTCTTACTATGCTTATTTTTTAAATATATTTTTACTATATCGTTCTTTGTTTAAGTAATACCATTGCAATAATGGAAAAGGTAGAACCACAACTATTTCGGACTCTGGTACTTGATCTAGGCTATAACAGATCTCCCAATATACCGTCTTGAAGGCTCTGAACCGATCTGTAAATGCTACTATGTACACCAGACTCTTTACAGTAAAGAATATATCTTGCTCAGATATCGCATACCTAGTATTCACGCTGACAGCACATTTCTTTAATTTTATTATTTATAATAGGTAAATTTTCTGAATACATTTCATTTAGTGGAATATATCTAAAAAATAACTTTACTATTGGCAGCCTTAATATCTTGGACTTCGTTTTTGATTGCTAAAGGCGCTTAGTAACCTTAGGTCAGGTGATTTAAGGATTGATAGTTGAGTTTTTCCTACAACCAGATAAGTAGGCCTCACCAAGTCAGTGAATTCCACTTAGCTTTGCCTCTAAAATACTTATATCATCTCTCATGGAAGCATTTGATGGGCTGAAATTTCAATCCAGTTCAGCACCTCCAACGGGATTCGATATCGGTCCGTAAGTATTCTTGCAACATCTTGGTCTTCATATTTACGATTACACTTGCGAAGTTTACCACCCCTCCA